TCGCACTGGTCTTTCCGTAAACAAAACAAGTGAATTTTGAGGTTAGTGATTGTGAGTGGTAATAGTGATTTATTAACATGAGTATATCGAATTCTAGTGAAACATGGACTTATTTCACACTTTGCGATGCTGAACGAGCTAAATGCAAACTGTGTAACAATGAATATTCAAGGAAAGACAGAACTACAACTTCTTCAAATTGTTTTTGAAGTTATACTTCTTTAGGCGCGTTATGAAAAAATGATGAGAGTGAAATTTTAAGATGCGCGCGCATCACTGTAACACAAAAACTGTTACTTTTGTGTTTACCACACATTAAGAAAATCTACCAACAAAATAGAAATAGAATCTCTATTTTGTGGGTGCTAACGACTGCATTGTGAAGGCCTATCAAAAGTATTTATTAATCTGGAACAACGGAACCAAAGCCAACCAAAGGAGACTACAGCGCCATCTCTTGACCATTGGTGTAGTAGAACCAAAAACCACATCTTTATTTTTTGTAATAAAGTAACAAAAAGTATTTATTAACCTGGAACAACGGAACCAAAGCGCGATTCAGGAGACTACAGCGCCATCTCTTGACCATTGGTGTAGTAGAACCAAAATACTACATCTTTATTTTCTAATATTCATATTCGCAAAACATTCGCAGAGATTTTGCGAATGAGAATATTCAAAAATATGCGAATATTCGCGAATGCGAATGCGAATATTCGTTACATCACTGCTGTTAATGTATGCATCTCTTTTGTTTACACGGAATGTATGATTAATATACGTTTTTTTAACAAGAAAATAGCCGATTAGTTAGCCGCTCCCTCGACGGCGCGACGATGGGATAACTGCCTTGATCGGGCTCGTATATTTTAATTAGTTCAACAATATAATTGAAGGTTTTGACCAGTGGCGGACTAAGCCAATCGGAGGCCCGGGGCGGCAAAGCAGAATGAGGCCCCCAGCTTTAAAAAAAAATAGTTTACTATGTTTATTTCGTTAAATCTGGCAAGGGAAATTTAAATAAGAATTAAATTATTTCGGCAAAATAAACATACATACCTACAATATGGAATGGCTATGGGTAGGAAAATCAAATACGAATCATCGACAAAAAAAAAATACTAAACTAAATCAAAGATTTTTTTTTATTTTTGGTAGCGTTTATATGTATTTTCGTGCCTTGAATTTACTGAACTCTGGCCGCGGTAGCATAATTGATCAGTGCTTTCGTCCGGATTGTGAAGGGTGCGGGTTCGAGTCCCGTCTGCTGCCTGGTCTGCATGGAATTTTTTCAAGTTATATTTTCTTAACATTTTTAAAGTTATGTTTAGGTTCTGATCAGGGGAATTCGGAGACATTTGGAGGCCCCCCAAGATCGGAGGCCCGGGGCGGGCCGCCCCTTCCGCCCCCCTGTTAGTCCGCCACTGGTTGTGACCCCCTTTCATCTTCCGTGATCACCCATTATAAGTCTGCCAATCGACGCGTACAAGAGTTTTTCATTAAACAGCTAATATCGCCGAACACAAAAGCGGCCTTTGTTCAATAATTCAATTCAATTCAATTTATTCTAGGATCAATCATCAATATGAATGATGAAAATTTTCATTTAATTGTATGCAAAATTATTTCACTTCGAAATTAGTTTTGTAGGTACTTCTCCATACCGTTTTCTTGTTTAGGAATGATAAAATGGATGTTCTTAGGGACACGATATCGAATAGAAAGTATCGATACTGTACTCATGAGTAGTATCGGTAAAAAAGTATCATACTCGTAAAAGTATTGAAACAAAAGTATCGATACTTCAAAGTATCGAGTACATTTCATAGGGCCTTATCGGATCCTCTGTGGCCTGATGAGCAACCCCAGATACAAATTCAAACAAATACAGTCAAGCGAAAATCACAATAAACGGCGAATCAAATACAGTTCCTAATAATGTGGTCGCTAAATAAATAACTATGAAACAAAACAAAGCGCAAAATAAACACAGTCACAGATTGGAAAGAAATTGAATATGCCAGTTACTGACTTTATAACAACGCAATGGAACGTTTTAGAAGGTTTGCTATGATTTAACAAGATGGTGTTGCCATCAATATGAGGCGCTTATCCAAATTTTTTAAGGTATTATATACTTGCCAAAAAGTACTCATTTAGTAAAAGTACCGAATAAAAAGTATCGAGTACAAAAGTATCGGTATCGAAAGGAAAAGTACTCGATACCACAAAGTATCGATACTTTTTTCGTGTCCCTAGATGTTCTCTATTCAGGCACTATACATTAATATTTATGAGTCGTAGTTGATAAGACCATTTACTTTACACGTCTATTAATTAATTGTATTAAGTTGGCATGCTGAAGTAAATAATGATTTAGGAATAACTGCTCTGTAGGACTGTTTAATGTCAACATCAATATCTTTTCAGCAAAATATAATTGGGTAATTCATGTTTAATCTACGAAAGAAATAATTCAACATTAGTTAGGATAATAAATAAAAAAGGTTAATTTAAAAAATCTAACCCATTATAGGTATATTATTCAAGAATGGATGATTTTTTTCCCTATAAATTATCCCAACTGTGTTACAAAGACGCTTTGTTCCTAAGTTAACAGAATTATAGACCACTGGACTTGTTATTTTTTCTTTTTAGTTATTCTTTGAAGCAATATTTAAGCAGTCGGGTTTTGAGATTTTCTAAACTTGCCTTTTTTTGTACAACTATTTAAGAGATACATTTGCACTATACATTATATTTCATTTAACTTTTACTGTTTTTGCAGTGCAGGACAAAACGGCTCGCAGATGGGAGATGTTTTTCCGCCTTACGTGTCACTTATTGTTATCGTCATCAGCCTATTAATGGCCCCAATGCTGGGCCACAGGCCCTCCCTATGGATGGAATAGGGAGATTGGGCCATGACCCACCACGCGGGCCCAGTGCGGATTGGTGGGTGCTGACGACTGCAGATGCAGCCGGGACCAACGGCTTAACGTGCCTTCCGAAGCAAGGAGGAGCTCGAGATAGTAATTTTTGGTCACCCATCCAATGACCGACCACTGCGAAAGTTGCTTAAGTTCAACGATCGCAGCCGAACGCGCTAACCACTTGCGCCATCGAGCTCCTCGATATTCTCTTATTGTTATATTTTGGCTTATTTACTTAATAGCTACATCAATTATTATCTTCATGTTATTATTATGTATGAGCTATATTATCGTTAAGTTTCATTAAAATCCATTCAGTATTATTTGGGTGAAAGAGTAACAAACATCCATAGAAACGTAAGATTAAAAGCGCAAGTGGTTAATAAACAACTTTAAATCATTGTAGATCCTTAACAGTCATATTAAATGAAAAATAGTGTAAGGAACCAAAACATGATTTTGATTATCTAGACAATGATACCCCACTCGACATATTTCGTCAACAATTTTTTTTTTCTTTCTCACAATATGGCGCCTAATTGTCCCCATATTGAATTTCGATATTTATCATATCTTCAGTAGCAATCCCATGACCAAGACAAATCGATTGACGTATGTATCATCAAAATCGGACTTTTAGTCTTATGGCGCGATTACAATTGCTCGTTAGTCCGAATACAAGTGCCATGGAATTCGGGTAAAGTAAGCGTAAGTGAGACGTGGACGCTGACTGTCGGGATACTCCACCGCCTGAAAGTAGCGCAAAGGGCAATGGAACGTGCAATGCTTGGCGTCTCTTTGAGGGACAGAATACGAAACGAAGACATTCGCCAACGCACCCGAGTTACCGACATAGGTAAACGGGTTGCTCGACTTAAATGGCAATGGGCTGGTCATGTATCTCGAAGAGACGACAACAGGTGGTCGTACAGAACCCTACTTTGGAGAGCTCGCACAGGAAGCAGAAGTGCCGGCAGACCACCTGCCCGATGGTCGGACGACATTAAAAAGACCCTTTATTCTCATTTGTTCGATTCATTAGTTCGATCGTCGAACTAGTGAGATTTTTTTTCCTCATTAGTTCGATCGTCGAACTACTGAGATTTTATTGTTCTCATTTGTTCGACCTTCGTCAATATTGCATCCATAAACATTTATAAAAATCACTATTTAGAAAAAAGTTCCAGGAAAATACATAACTAAGATGTTCTGGTAATGAAAATGGATAAATAAAGACAATAAGTTCGATGACGTTCGAACAAATGAGAACAATAAAAGCTCAGTAGTTCGACTATCGAACTAATAAGAGAAAAAAATCTCACTAGTTCGACGATCGAACTAATGAATCGAACAAATGAGAATAAAGTAAAAAGACGGCAGGGCCGACCTGGACCAGAACCGCCGCATCAAGAACTTCTTGGAAAGTCATGCAAGAGGCATATGTCCAGCAGTGGACCTCATAATGCTGAGAAGAGGAAGAAGCGTAAGTGAATGGATTCGAGTACGCCTGTATTTGGATTGTATTCGATTTGGTTACCTGACTCCGTCTTATTGCTTCGGGTGCCCGAATCTGATTAATGTGTTTCGTGCACCCGTATACGGACTAACGGCCAAATGTGATTGAGCCATTATGTAAGGTAGAGGATTTATTTCACAGGTCAATTACAAATTTTCCACAGGTCATAAATTATTCCAATGCCTTAAATATCCAATGAATAGGGATGATGACTATTTTTTTTCTTCATTTATCAGGTAGATTGTCAAAAAGTATTAGACACGTATTTTTTATTTTTTCACATAATATAAACATTGCAGAGATATACTGATTTGAAATATCGCATGACGTCACGTTTGAGTACTCTTTTAAGTGAAAATTCACTAAAAAGTGGTGTCACGAGCCCTTACTCCCAAGCTTTGACGCGCTACTTTGTCATTTTTTGGTTGATTGTCCAAATAAAAAATACGTGTCCATTATTTTTTGATCATCTAACTGACGGACTAAATAGAATTTCGTTTACTGTACCCCGTCATCACCCCTAAAATTTATATCAACTTATACCTAGCTACCTCGTGTCCTGCATCCAGTAGCGTGCCAACAATAGAATCTCCAAGCACTTTGTAACTCTCGTCTGGTACTGGAAACACTACAAGTATTTGGCTGGCCAAACAGCTACTCACAAACAATACAAAACAAAACACTCTCACTGGCGCTATTACCAACATTCTAACATTCAAAATCGTATTTAGAATATTTTAGAAATTTAGAGTAACACAAGAAATTTCGTGTCTAATTAGGAACACTGCTTTGAAATACTAAACACAGCTGTGTTTGTTAAAATTGTGTCATACGGTTGATAAGAGATGAGGTATCTTTTGGTTTCGCTCCAATAGATTTGTAATCTCTGTACATTTTTATCTAAGATACGGATTTTTTCTTGTGTTATTTTAGCACGGTGATTTCAATGGCTGCTGGTTTTCATAAACTTTGTAATAATAGAACCTTACAATAGAATATACAAAAAACTAAAATCTTGTTCTTAGAATCACTAAAACGTAGACTCTATTCATTGACTCCCTTCTCGGTTAAGGCGATATAAAAAAGGACCAACTGCGTTCAAATGATTCTGTAAGATTGCTGATTTAAGGGCACAAAACTTCTTCCAAAAAATCATATTGCAAACTCCTAACTTCTAAACGAAAATTATGATTTTCGAAAAAAAAAACATATGTCCAAACAATTTGTTAAACAATTTACTTGGTCATGTTTCATTTTACCAAGTATTAATAGATTTATCGTTGGGGATAATATACACTAAAGAAAAGTTTTACTAGAAAAAAGTCTGCTACCACGGCCCTGATGGCCGCGTCGAAATTTTCCTAGGCTTAAGCTGCAAGGCAGCGCCATCTCTTCGCATTGCAGGTAACCCACAATGTCAATGTTGTTACCTACAATGCGAAGAGATGGCGCTGTCTTGCAGCTTAAGGCTAGGAAAATTTCGACGCGGCCATCAGGGCCGTGGTAGCATAATTGGTCAGTGCATTCGCCCGGATTACGAAGGGTGCGGGCTCGAGTCCCGTCCGCTGCCTTGTCCGCGTGGACTTTTTTCTAGTAAAACTTTTCTTTAGATTTAAAAGCAGTTAAATGCTTAAAAAAAACATAATATACTTTATCTAAATAAAAGTTCTCACGATGCAGATGGCAGATTGTGTGTATGCTGTTGGTCGCAGATGACTCGGCTCTAGTTAGCCGTTGTCGTAGGGGAGTGATAGACCATGCCCTGCCAATTTCATATAAAATATCTATATCTATTGGAGAATACTACTGGTTACTTATATATCTACACTAGCCGTACCCCGCGGTTTCACCCGCGTTTTTCTCGTTTCCTTGGAAATACAGAGATAAAATATATAGGTACCAACTCTTAACATCTTACACACGTGATAACTTTTAAACGAAATATCCGATTGACATGAAACAAAAAGTATTTTACTTCTACATAAATACTCTTGATAATATAATGCTTAATTTCGATAAAGATTAATATTACGATACATATTTAACGTATTTTTTTTTCTTCAGACGATTTAATAATTATTTTGAACACAAAATCGGTTATTGTGGTTAAACCATGAATGGTCTTAATGGGATCTACAAACCCGTAGTACATCATTTTGTTCTATTGTCAATAGTTTTTGCAGCGCACGCAGAAATAGGTTTTCGATTTTACACATTGTGTTACAAAATAGCAATTTTATTACGGATCCCTAATTTTGAAAAAAAAATATATAGCCTATAGCCTTCCTCGATAAATGGACTACCCAACACTGAAAGAATCATTCAAATCGGACCAGCAGTTCCAGATTCGCGCGTTCAAACAAACACAAACAAACTCTGCAGCTTTATAATATTAAATATATCTACATACCATTTGTCACACCACATCAATCACTATGGCAATAAATACATCGGCCAACAACAACACATAAATCAGAAATATAATTAGTTAACAATGCTAAATACAGCTACTGGTCTCTAATAAATAATATTTTAATGGTGCCGTAAAACAGTGGTTATGGGTTTCTTCTACCACACGCTAATTAACAAAATGGAATAACGTTGCAAAGAGCAAGAGGATTTAAATAATTTAATGTAATGATTTTATTTATTTTTTAAGCATTTAACTGCTAGATGCTTAAATCTAAAGAAAAGTTTACTAGAAAAAAATCCACGCGGACCAGGCAGCGGACGGGACTCGAACCCGCATGCAATGCACTGACCATTATGCTAATATTTTAAACTAGCAAACCAGTGAACCAAATGTTCACCAAAACCTGATTTCTCGAAAACCGGAAGTGCTACGTTACTCAAATCCGGTTTGTAGTCTTATCAGACTATTCTCAACTTATAACTTAAACATTCTCTTTATACATCTCTTACGGTTTGGCCGCTGAAACAGCACCACGGACGGACGGACGGACGGACTTGTCTAATAGATAAGAGATGATGATAATTAACAATATAATTATCTAAAGAAAATTTTACTAGAAAAATATCCACGCGGACCAGGCATCAGACGGGACTCGAGCCCGCACCCTCCGTTATCTCGGCGGATGCATTGACCATTATGTTAACATGACCCTGATGGCCGCATCGAATTTTCTCTAGCATTTATTAGGCTGCAAGGCAGCGCCATTTCTTCGCATCGTAGGTTCCATCTTTGTCAACTTTTTTAGTCAAAATGAGATGGAATGAATTTTGAAACCCTAGGCTTAAACATGATTTATTATCCCGTATTGTTAAAAATGTTCAACACGTTTATCCCTTAAAATTAAATGTGTTTTACCTATCGTTTATTAATATGGCTAACTGAAAAGTCATTCCATTTTTAGAACATTGTGTGTGGGGTGAATGGATTTTATTGCTTACTCTATTGAGAGTTACTTTTTTCCGGGTCTTTTGATGTGTTCAGATTGAAAGGCACCTATTCGATGATGCTAATATGACTCAGAAGTCACTTTCAACGAATCGATAAACCCTACCCAGTAAAAAACAGAAAATACTCATGCACGATTCACCTGACACAGAACCCTAGGACCGAGGTCCCTGACATATGCGTCAGGATGGAGATTATGGCGTGGTAACCCACGAGGGACTGGCCACGTACCACTGTTCTATACCTGCCGCCAAATCTAAATACAATATCGTTTATTCAGTCTAGGCTATTACAAGCGGAGACCTTGTACTGAGAAGAACCGACAAGAAACTCAGCAAGGGCGGTTTTTTCTTCCTGTATTATATACAGAGTCATCAAATTGAATAATGACTTCAATATGAGATAACTCATGAAGTCACTTTCCATTATAAATGTAAATGATATAAAATTTATGACTTTAATATATAAAAACCTGATTCAACAAAGCTTGGGAATGCCGTGTCCTACTGTTTAGGCTTCATCATAAAGTTATAGTTGTTTAATATCGCCATTGCTGAGGTTCAGGTCTTCCTTTTGATCCAGCATGCAGGCCATTGTTCCAATAATAGTGCACGGCTGCAGATATAGCCGGCTGAAAGTGCCTTCCCAAACACGGATGAGCTCGACTCGACATAATACATTTACGGTCATCGATGCTGTGACCAGCCATTGCGGAACTTGATTAACAGTAAAAAATCCTAATGAATTTTACCATCCTATTTTCAATACAGCATCAGTAATCTACGCACTGAACTTGGAACCTTCACAGAGGCAATGGGACTAGCCAATCTGTTTGCGTCTTCAGAGTGACCTTTAGCTTCCTCTGAAGACGCAGCTGAGCGTACTCGCCTCTTGGCGGTCTTTCAGGTAGAGTCTGGTTACTGGCTGCAAGCTCTCCCTTCAGCCAATATCGGGACTTTGCTTGACAGGAGCATTCCATCACTTGCCATTTCACTTAGACTCAGCGTCAAGACCAATGACTCCACCCCATCTGATGTTAGGTGAAGGTGAAGTCCAGACGCGAAGATAGCTGAAACAGCAGTTCTACCTGCAACACCAGCCATCCTCACCCTGCCGGCCTGTATGTTGCTTCTTCACGCCACTTTTAAAGGAGTTGGGACACCATGGTCTCTCATACCATATGAGCGCTGGTCGAGTCTCCCACCACGCCTGCATCAATGACGTCATCCGCAGACCTCGCCTGTTCCCGTAAGTAAAAAACTAGAGTTACTGAAATGATTTGTTTACTTTCTGTAAAAGAATTTCAAACACTTTTTATCTGAGCGGGTGAGCAGATTAAAGCTCAAATGTAAACAAGCGCAGCACCTAAACAAATTTTATTATTCCGAAACCGATATAAAAAGGGAGCTTTTTCTAAACAAATTTGTGAATTCATTTCCGCCAAAACAAATCAACTTTGTTAACATTTGGCAAAAGAAATACGCGACTGTCAGAAATGTTTGTTGAACTTGAACGTGCGAGAATCCTAACTCCGGCACCGGCACCTACTTTGTGTATATTAGAAGCTCTGTTTAACTAATAGTTACCAGGAAACTGCGAAAATAGGTTGCATTTACCCAGTTATTAAAACACAAAATATCTTTGATTATTGTAGCATCCATTTCTCTTCTCCTTTGCGTGTTAGAATACGTAAACTTTGCTGTGAGAGCAATGCACGCTGTGTTTAATGTAAATGGTTTTGATATTGATGTAGAGCGGAGGTGTTTGCACAAATATTTATCGTATTCTAATCGAATCTCTGGTTATTTTTTCCCGTGGGTTGAGCGTTGGCGTGGAGTGGGTGTTAAATAAACGCGGTAACACGGCGCAGGCTCCTTTCACGAGTTAACAGGAGTACTTATCTACCAGACTGTTCGGTATATCCCTGAGAGATCGTGTACGCAATGAGGACATACGGAAATGAACAAAACTACCCGACATAGCTCGCGAACTCGCAGGGAAGAAGTGGAGGTGGGCAGGTCACGTGGCTCGCAGAACGGACGACAGGTGGAGTCGAGCTATTGTGGAGTGGCGGCCTAGAACAGGACGCAGAAACGTTGGTAGGCAGCCCGCCAGATGGTCCGATGACATTACAAGAGTAGCAGGACGAAATTGGATCCAGATCGCACAACACCGAGCAAATAGGCGCAACATGGAGGAGACCTATACGCAGCAGTGGGTGGATAAAGGTTGAAGAAGAAGAAGAAGAAGTAGAAGACTGTTCCAAAGAAAAGTTTACTAGAAAAAAAAAATCCCGTCCGCTGCCTGGTCCGCGTGGATTTTTTTCTAGTAAACTTTTCTTTAGATTTAAACATCTAGCAGTTAAATGCTTAAAAAATAAATAAAATCATAACTATAATTGCTA